AGGGCCGCATAGCACAGCGGCATCACACCCTGTTAGGAAAAAATGTGGGCACACAGGAGTGTGTTTGATCTGACTTAAGCTTTTTTATTTATTATTTTTTTAAATTACAGATCCGCTCACAGTCACTTGTGTGTATGTTTTATCTCAGGATAGTAATGTGAGAAATCCGAGTAATTGCTCTGGCAGTGCTCGTCAGCTTTTTGAAGAGCCACACCTTGAGTTTTCCTTTAAATAACATGTCACGACATCAAAGGGCAGCAGACTCTGTGGTTTCCTTAAATGTTACCTTTGAGCGCGCATCAGCTGCTCCAAGCATCGCATGCTTTTCCATCCATTCACCGGGAAGTACGCAAGCAGATCCAACATGACTGCCTGGCAGCAAACGCTGTGGTTTGATTACCCTTTGACAAGCAGCCTTCATGCTTTTGTGTCCTCATAAATTTATTAATGACAGTTTTTGCATAACTCTGCTGAGTTATACACATAGAAAAACTACAGCTTCACCCACTTTCTTAATTGTTCTGTCTGTTGTTGTCTCTGAGGGTCTAAAGGAACATGTTCTAATTTAGGATCTGAAGTTTGTATTTTAACATTGGGGTTGAATTTTGCCCCCAAATGTGGGCGATAAGCAGCAGCAGTGTATTCTGAGCAATGGTTAAATTAAGCACATACATTACATAAGGTCCCACAATATCAGTCACCATATGTAAAAAATTTTTAGGTTTATCTGTAAACATCATTGTCAGGTTTGAAACTTGTTTAAAAGGGCATATTATGGGCCATGTGATATGGCAGTGATAAATCACAAGACGGTGAACTCAGACCGCTCTTCTTTTCCTGTTTCAGCCACTGTTTACTTTCATTTTCACTTGCTTATCTTCTTTTGCTTTCACTAACAGCTGAGTTTGGTCAAAACTCACGGGTCAACTTTGAGAAGAGGTTGTGGTTTGAGTTAAATGTGTCCATTCACAACATGAAGAACGGTTAACCCATGTGTCAGAATATCACGCTGAGCAGATTTTCCTATGCATCTAATCGTGCTGCAGCGGGGCCTGCAGATCGGCAGCTGTGTTTGACTCTGCGGGAATGAGAGCGGGTCATCTTGTGGCCATTTTTCTGTGATAGTTTGACTGTTTAAGAAACCTTAACCAGTCCGTGCACGTCTCATTCACACATGACTTTCAACATGCCAGAAGTGTGAATGGCGACTGTGTCTTTGGGAGCTGCACAGTGTTGCTTTCTGACCGCAGCCACTTACAATAAAATGTGCTAACTTTGTCATTAGACTATTAATAAGAATTTCAGCTGTTATGCATATAGCACGTGGCTTTCTTCAGCATTTCGGATACACATGTGGGTGTAAACCTCTATGAGTAAAAAAAAACAAACAACCAAAAATCATTATGAGTACAGGAAGGAAGGAATTACGCAAGATCTACAGACATGTCTGTGCTCTCCACATGTTCATCATAAAGAAACAGGACAAGGACAATTCCTTATTTCATCCTCCAGGATGCTGTCTGCACATGATATAGCCTGTTGGATATATAGCTGTGTAATTATTGAGTGCACTTTTTGTGTGTGCATGTGTGTAATGTGCATTATAGACTACCTGTTGCCACATTGAAGTAGTTATTATTACTAAGGCCACATAGAAATGTGTCCATACACACTGAAATGAGCAAAAGTGTCTTTAGATTAATAAAAAACAAACTGAAATGACACGTTGAGCTCAAACAGCTGTTGTTTTGTCAGTTTGATGAAACTCACAACCCAGATGAAGAACAACAGTACAGACACACGTGTTTATTGCAAGGACAGAATAAAGAAGAAGAAAAAGGAAGCCTGCGTGGAAGTGCATCAAAGCTGCGTTCTATCTGATTGCTGTGGTTGCAAAAAGGCTTCTGGTTCTACAGAAGTCTGTGAGCCGTTTCCTGCCCAGTTTCCGGTTCCAGTTACTCATTTTGGTTCATTAAAAAAAAAAAGAAGTCCATTCTGAAAATATTTCAAAATGGAGGGTTTGTGTTGTGAAACCACACATTCCTTGGCTAACGAGTGGTCAATTACAAGTCTTGTTATTTTTTTTTAAGGTGAAGGTGATGAAGAGGCTCATCTCAAGGCTCTAAAATGAGACGATGATCTCTCAGTAACTACAGCCATCTGTTATGGAGCTGTAGTTTGCTTATTTAGTGCTTTTCTACTTTAAGTGCTTCTTAGTGCTTCTTTCACACGTTCATACAGTGCATTCATTCATTTCAGGCACTCACTCTGTTACCAGTTATAAATTATAATGAAATAAAAAAACCAAACTGAGCAAAAATAAGTGAAACTCTTTAATAACTGTTAACAAATGACTTAACGGCAGATTTGAGACTTTTCTGCGCGCGACTGCTCGCCTGTCGGATCAGTCCAGCGTTCACGTATCAGGAATTTGTCATAGTTCATTAGCTTACCAGCGGTGTGAGTGGTGTTTAGTGAATGCACATAAATGTGTGTTTGTAGCAGGATCCACACAACAGCTGGAAACAACGAGCTAAACTTCAGCTCCCGTTAATGTTTATTCACCGCAGGTTATTTTCATTACTGGGAATCGACAGTAATCTGACCCATATTTGGTCTTTATTGTGGTCAAATTTAACTGACAATTTACTCTGTAATTGATGTGAAATTGTAGAGCAAAGTTTCTGACTCCAGACATTTCTGTTATTTTTCAGACATGCATATTTGGATATTAGTGGGTCACTTCCTGGCCCGTTGAACATGCATAGACACCAGGGTTTCCTCTCATTTGTTTTGAGCTGCTAAACTGAAAGCAGGTGTCTCATACCAAAGGTCAGACCTGCATGTGGGTGTAAACTGCATGGTTTTGCTTTTTGTAGAGCAGGCTGATGGGGGTGAGCAGAGGCATAATATCTATCCATTTCTTCCCCCTAAGACCCGTCTGGAAATGAATCTGACGATGAGCAAACTCTGTCTGGGCTAAGCTGCTAAGAGCCAGTCTGAGGAGGTTGGAGTCAGTTGCTACCTGCAGACGAGGAGAGCATCGACACACTCGAGTGCGCGCATTAACGAGGCGTCTGGCCGTTAAACTGTCAGTGTAGCATCTCCACATGGAGCAAGCACACCTGGGCTCCCAGATCTCCTTTTCTCCTTCGGCTTCTTGTGTCTCAGTGTCAGTTAGGATCTGGATTCACCCACTGCATCCAAGCGTGAGTACGGATAAGATGCTGTATCAGCAGAAAATGGAAAAATGCAGACGTAAAGCACCGCGTTGTAGATTGATCCAGCCCAGGTCAGGGAGTGCTAACTGCGGGATCTTTCGGTCCCTTTTGCAGCAGTGGGCGTTTTTGGCTTTTCAGTGGCCGGTTGCTGTTGAAGAAGTATGAGGTCATCTGTGTTTGAACAGTTGATCATCCTGGAGTGCAGATATATGCAAGTATTTCTTATGAATTTCCCGCTTTTAATGTTGTTGACAGCTGCACGTCGGCTGAATGAACAGAAAAATGCACATAATCAGGTTTACAGAGCGAGCGCTCTGGTGTTGCCGAAGGGGAGAAAACAAAGGCCGAGGAGGATGATGAACTGATCTCTCATCCTGAGCTATGTTAAGAAGTTAAGTATGCTTTCATTTTGGGGTACGCTCCACTGCCAGTGAACCCATCCTCCGGAGCCTCATGAGTCTGCTCTGTGCTGCTCTGAGCTTCACTCAGACTCCACTGTTACACAAGTTTGCACAAATACAGGGAGTTGCAGCAGATATGTGATTTACTGTAATTCAACCAAAACTGTCATCTTGAGGTTTTTGCTTCTAGAAGTGTCGAAAGAATTCTTCTCTTGGTTTGATGTCACAGATCTTTGATATTTGTTTGTATGGAAGTTTTAAGACAATCTCACAGTTTTGCAGTCATTGCAGGTAAAATGTAGTCATTTGTATGACTCTCAGACTTTATTATGAACAACTAAAATACATATACAATGTTGCCAGATTGTGTAGTTTCAACCCACATCTTGGCAACCCACAAACCAGTTCAAGGAGCTAACCTCTGCACCGGCAGACAGATCAGGTAGACGATGAAGAAATCGTTGCTTCCACACTTCAGCTCTGTGTCACATGTGCAACAAAGTTGGAAAGATTTTCACCACTTTGAGTTTCATTAATCACAAATCCCTAAGTGAAACGTGATACAAACAAACAGTCCATTAAGTGAATTAAAACCAAATTTCTCATGAAGTTGGTCATCCTCCAGGTGGGACCATTAAGGATAAATTCATCTCAGAATCTTCAGGAATGCTGAGAAGGCTGAGAGGTGGCAGGCTGGTGGATTGTTGCTGAGCCAGCAGTAATGAGCTTGTACTGGACTGCTGTGGTGATGAGAGCCTGTAACCTGTGAGCTCCGGGTAGTCACCAAAAGAATAGGGTTGCAGGCACGAGCAGGACGAGCTCCGGGGTGACGGAGTAAAGGGCTGAGGGAGCTCGGAGTAGAGCCGCTGCTCCTTCATGTCTAAAAGAGCCAATTGAGGTGGTTTGGGGCACGCCCAGCTGGGACGAGACGCCAGCAGAAACTGCAAAGTGCTGCTGGGGACAAGGACGTCTAGAATGCCCTGCTGAGCCTGCTGCCACAGCAGCCTAACTTTGGATAATTGGAAGATAATGGATAGGTTTTGCTTGTCAACAATTAGTTTGGGGGGAAAAAAAGCTTTTGCTGTTCTTTCACTGGGAGACAGAAATAGACTGTCTCCCTCTGCCTCCTTTCTCCTCGTTCGTGCAGAGCTGCACATGCACAGCTGCCCTGTTGTATCTGAGCAGCTCGCAGCTCCACAATTAACTTGTACCATTAATGCTGGTGGTCAGTGTGGCTTGAATCATCAAGCTGTATCAAATACTCCCCAGTTATAGTCAGTGGTTCTGACGACGTCTCCTGGTGTATTTTATTTCAAACTGTTCATGCGGCTGTAACTCTCACAGCTTCTCTCTCGCGTTGTTTTGTGTTTGTTTTCAGGTAAGAGGAAGCGGGTGCTCAAGCTCCCCAAGGAGGCGTTTGAGCAGGCTACCAGTACCAGCTCAGTGTAAGTGTCATTTCTGCAGAATGTTACTGAAACATGCACGCATGCTTATATCTGTGTGATTATTTATCCCGGTTTGCACGTCTGACCCTTTCTTAAATCAAGTCAGAAGGCTGAATATGTGAAATGAAAATCTGTGCAGCAGCAGGAAATAGGAGGAGGAAGTTACGCTCCCACTAATACCATCTTTCTCTGTAAGCACGCTTTTACAGTCAGCCACACCCTCAAGCAGCGTGTGAACATGAAAGAGTAAATTTCTTTGGTCTTAATTACCCTGATAACTGCACGTTCTCGCCACAATAAAAGCCTCTGTTTGGAGCTCTTTCTCCACATTTTTCATAACATGAAGCTCAGTCTGCAGCTGCCTTTTGATAAGAACAGGTTTTCTGCAACCAACAAAAACAGTTAGTGTTCAGTGTATTTTTAAAGTGAGTCCTCCTCATTAAGAAACCTGCAACTGCAGAGGCGTTTCTGGTTCAGAGCCAACTTGTAGATGAAATGTCAGAAACACTGTGGCTGCATTATTGTGTTTAACTGTGCTTCTCATTGTTTTTAAATTACAAAAGTATCTGTTTAATAGTGTAGTATTTTTCTGCTTATTTTAATTTCTTATTTTGTGTATTGCATCTTATTTAATATATCTAATTAATCTAATATTTTTATATAGTTTTGTTATTAGTTGTTTACTATGTTTTTTTCACTGTAGTATAAACAGGTTAAGCGAATAGTATAAAGCAGGGATGTCGAACTCCTGCAGGTTTTAGAAAACACTCTGTGTCAACACACCTGGATCAAAGATTAGTTCATTCCCAGGCCTCTGGAGAACTTCACGACATGTTGAGGAGATTTAGCAATTTAAATCAGCTGTGTTGGATCAAGGACACATCTAAACCCTGCAGGACGCCGGCCCTCGAGGCCTGGACTTCGACACCTGTGGTATAAAGGATGGACGCAGTTTCCAGTCCTAAAAAGTGGAGCTCTCTTCCACAGCATGTCTTTATCCTGTCTTCCTTCTCTCACCCTAACCAATCGCAGCAGATGGCCCCGCCCCTCCCTGAGCCTGGTTCTGCTGGAGGTTTCTTCCTGTTAAAAGGGAGTTTCTCCTTCCCACTGTCACCAAAGTGCTGCTCATAGGGGGTCATATGATTGTTGGGTTTTTCCCTGTATGCATTATTGTAGGTTCTATCTTATAATATAAAGCACCTTTAGGCGGCTGTTGTTGTGATTTGGTGCTGTGTAAATAAAACTGAATTGAAGCCAGGTCTTGTTACATCCTGTCTCAAAACCAAGATCGTAAAAATACTCAGTTTTAGGTTTAATACCAAACAGATGTTGCTACTTCCGTCTCTCATATACAGTCTGTGTTCTCTCCACTGGCGCTGATGGGGAAAAAGCTCAGTTATTTATTTCAAGATTCTGACTTTTTCAAATTTTAATCGCTGCTCCCAAAGCAAAGGACATTTACCTTACAATACGAAGCACTCTGAGGCGACTGCTGTTGGAAGTAAATAACATAAAATTGAAGTGAATTGAAAGCCAGAAGCATCTTTTCATAGTTGGTGTTTTTTGCAGAAGAATAAATTCTGCTGTTTTGTGCCTGAAATGTGCGACGTGTCCTCTAAAGAACACTTTAACCTGCTCATATGTAACCAAATGTTTTTGTGTTTCAGACCCCCCAGAGATTTGGATTCGAAAGCTTGTGTAACAATCGGAGAGAAGGTAATTTTATTCCTTTGGCTCATTTACTGTCTTCTTTTCCACCTTTCCTAATCCCATTCAGGTTTTTCCTCCTCTCATCGCGGTCTCTTACATAACTTCTTACCTTTTTCCTCCTCCCAGTGTAATTTTGGTCGATCCACATAGGTTGGCTTAATCGCGGCTCTGTTGGCTGTAAAGAATGTCCTGATGAACATTACAGCCGAATTGAACACTTCTGATTGTGGTTAGACTGGAATGCTTTTTATTGCCCATCAGGCAGTAAAAATATTTATTTTAAACTCCTCAAATAAGTGGAATTTTCCATTGGCAGGGCTGGCTGCTCGTTCTCTGTTCGAGTTGGCCACAAGTCAAAGAGATTTCTTTTTTTCTTGTGTTTGAACAATTGGAAACAAAAAAAATTTGGAAGTATCCCGCTGCATCGTGGAGGAGACTTTTGCATGGCTTTAAAGAGACATGAGAGATTCCTCGCCCTGTGGGTTTGGTGTCCACTGGAACTTGTCCTCCATTTGTGCAGAATTTCGAGGTGAAGGCAGATGACCTGGAGCAGATCTCCGAGCTCGGCAGAGGAGCGTACGGCGTGGTGGACAAGATGAGACACGTGCCGAGTGGCCTGATCATGGCTGTTAAGGTAAAAGGAAAGACGATTTCCAGACTTCAGGAATGTTTATTTAACCACGAGCCCATTAAAGCAAAGTGACAAACACACAAAACACACTCGCTCCTCACCTGATGCTCTGCTTTTGGAAATGGAAATGGAAGCTGCTCGTTTTATAAATGGAGATCCAGTTATTCCATGCAAAAACTGCAGAGCGCACAGGGAAGGAGGTCAGGATGGGACTCTCATCATCATCTCATCATGATGTTAATGATGATGATCAATCCGTAGGCCTGCAAAACACCTGTACATCAAACCAAAATACAAACATACTGATATATATACACACATACATGCGCAAACACAGTCGACACAATCCACATGACATAAAATAACAACTCAGTCCTGGAGTAGGAAGATGTACGCACTCATTAATCCACTGTTGAGTTACCATGTGCGTCACACTTGGCCCACAAAAACAGAGACAACGGCAAAGAAAAGTCTGTGTATAAATATAAATATAAAGGTCAGTATAAATATGTAGACTTGAAAATTACAAAACTGTTCCCTAGTTTTTGTTCCACAAATAGAAATACAAAAGGTTTAATCTGAGGTTCCCCCAATCTGTGTCAAAAATCTGAATCTGTGCGTTCAGCAGTTTCAGAGTTTATGAAGGATTTTTGATTCCTGCTTGATTAGTGATCCTGATTGCTGTTCTTTGAAATGAACATAAAAGTGCAGTTTTGTGTGTGTTGACCGCACACATCACTCTACGTATGGCAGTGAACAGTAACGTATGTGGGTGGAGTGGTTTGTAAAGCAAACCTAAGGATCTTGTGGACATTTGTTGGGTTTCTCCTGCTGGGCTGACAGATCAGGTGTTCTTGGCCGTCCAGCTGCCAGGTTACTCTGACTCTGATTTTGTGTTGGTGTCAAACCTTTTTTCTCTTTTTTCGTCACCACCTTGGGTATTACAGCTGGAGCTTTGCTTTTATTTATTTACCGACCATTGTTACTCCAGAGGAAACACTTTGCAAATATCCTTCCTGGGCATTTATTGCTTCATTCATTCTGTTGCATATTTCTCTTGCATTAGTTTTTATTGCAAAGCTAAAACACATGAGTTTATTTATTATTTAATTTCAGTTTATAATGATAGTGATTGGATGGTGTAAATATTGTATTTCTCTGCTCCTCATTATGTGGTATGGGGAACTGAAAAGTCAAAGTGAAAAGCTGAGGTGGGGATGTAATCACATTCAGACTCCGTTTAGTTTTACTTGATTTTAAACTTTGACTTGAGCTGCTCTGCTCTTTCCCCTCATCTGCAGTTTTGGGCCTTTCTCTAATCTCTAACCCAGATTAAAAAACGTCATGTCTGCTGTTCACCTCACGACCAGCAGTAGGATAATGCTACCCGTGAAGAGGCTGCACATTTCTTGCCTGTCTCCCTGCTGACATCACAAAGTGCGACTGCTTTCGCCCTGACGGTTTGCTTCTTGTCATCCTTCCTCAGCGCATTCGGGCCACGGTGAACACTCAGGAGCAGAAGAGGCTGCTCATGGATCTGGACATCTCCATGAGGACAGTGGACTGCTTTTACACCGTCACCTTCTACGGAGCACTATTCAGAGAGGTAGAGTCACAGAAAGGCTGCTGCTCGTTATTCATTTTCTTTGTGCGTTCGTGGCAGTGTGTCTTTTTGGAGAGAGGAGTGAAGGAAAGTATCTTAATATATTCCATAGTGCAAAAACAGTGAACTCTCCGTTGTTCAACCAGTCAGGACAGAGTCATTCAAATCTCTCACAGAGCGGTCTTGAAGAAGTAATGGATATAAAGACTAAAACAGTTTAAGAGTGGGGTCGGGGGACACCTCTGCAGACCGTCTGATGCAGAAACTTCCTGCAGCAGTGAGTGGATGTTCAGGATTTCCTCACTGGGTCTGAATCACTGGAAAATCTGTCACTTCCTGTCTGTTTGGAATCCGGCCGGCGCCTTTTTGTTCTGCCGTTTTTTTCCCTTTTTTTTTTGTCCTGATCTGTTTCCAAATCTGCCTGTCTGTTGCCAGGGCGACGTGTGGATCTGCATGGAGCTGATGGACACCTCCCTCGACAAGTTCTACAAGCAGGTGATTGAGAAGGGCCTGACCATCCCCGAGGACATCCTGGGAAAGATCGCTGTCTCAGTAGGTTCACTTAAAGCGGCATAATGTGAATGATTAAAATTTAATGCGAACACTCAACTTAGCTTAATGACACATACGGGTTATGTAACGCTCATTTGCTTATTGATGGCCTTTCTCATTACAGATAGTAAAAGCTCTGGAGCATCTCCACAGCAATCTGCAAGTCATACACAGAGGTAAGAGCCTTAGATTGGAGACCCATTAAACTCTCACTGCCAATTTCCTCTCAGCTGCACGCGGCTGCTTCTGTTTTCCGCTTCCATTATCCCTTCAGACTCTTGCCAGATCTTACTGGAGAGCCACAGCAGTGCGTCTGTGTTAAAGCAGTTAAACGAGCATCCGTCTCTGGTTCTGGGTCAGAAAACGGTGGATTGCAGCCTCACGTGTGCGGTCGTCAGGTCGGCTGGTGCAGCCTCAGCAGCGCTGAACTGGACCGAGTGCTTCAGACCACTCCCCTGGCGGGGCTGCATATGACAGCACATGTATCGAGCGCAGTTAGATTGAACGTTAGCTGTCGGATTATTTAAGACAATAACAGGATTCTGCTAAATTTATGAAAATGTTCTTTTTGTCCTTGGAGTGAGGACATCCCATTTTGGGTTATTTAGACTGAAATACTCAATTTTGCTCTACATGGGCCGATATCCACTGACGAGGACATTATGCTGCTACTGTTCTATCAAAATTTTAAACGAATATCTTCATATGTGGCTCTTATTTTTCATAAAGACAAAAATAAGGTAAAAAAAAAAAATCTGGTAATTCTTTGTTTTTACATTCATTGGGCCCCAATTTGCCCAAATAGCAAAGAGAAATTAAAAATGCTGCTGTGGAAGAGTTCAGGTCTTAGGAGGTTAAAGGCCAGTCTGTGAAAATATTGTCGGACATAAACCGGTCCATGGTGCATAAAAGGTTGGGGAACTCTGGGTGAAAGCATCATCGCTGCCTGATCTGCACTGGAACACAAACGCATCTCAAAATACGCACAAATTATTATTATGTTCAAATCACTATCATTACAGAGACGATGCTGATATGATGTTGTGTTGAAATGTAAAAGAAGGCCTAAATTAGTTGAGGTTTGTCAATAATTTGAACAAATCTTTAAAATAAAAATGCTCAGATTTTTCGTAAATAAGCAAAGAGTTTTTATTTACTTTGTGCTACTAATTCTTCCTCTGCTTTGCAGTTCATAGAGTACAAAGTTAGCTTCCTAGATATTAGTGACCAAAACAGTCTTTAGTTGTTAAGAATAAAAACACAGTTTATGTCACGTAATGTAATAATGATGTTTTCACGTGTTAGGAGAATCGTTGCACCACTTATCATTAAATGTTAGTACGTTTTTGTCAAAATAAATTATGAAATTCTTAAATAGCTTCACAAATATGTGATAAATGAAGCGTGGTTTGGACAATGGCTATCTGTAAAATACATTGATACATGATGTTGGTGTTCGCTGCAGTGGATAACAAACAAAGTTTTTTATTTTTTAAGTTTTGCTTTTGTTTTCAGTTTTTTTTTAATTATTTTTATCAAAGTATTTTGTGATAATTTTTTCTTTTTTTCCAGTATGTTCAGGTAAACAAAATACATATTTTGCTACGTTTTGCAAGCACCTGACTTTGAGCCTGGTAGTTTTTCACTTCAGACTTGTCAGTAATTTAACATTTTGTTAAATGTATAAAATAGATTTAGTTAAAACACACATTTGAGGATGAGCAGCAGAAGCTTTGCTGAACTAATATGTTGTAGCCACAGAACTAAATCTTACAAACCTCATGCTGGTATTTTAAGAGTTGATCCTTCCTGTGTCAAACCTCTGTTACCACCATGTTACTGTTGTTGGGTCAAAGTTGTCAAAGTCACCGTTAAAGCAGCTATACGTCACAGAAATGAAGACACCCGTCGGTCTGTAACAGCGACCGCAGTCTGCAGCTAGGTCAGCCAGCTGCTCTCTCAGAGGGAAACAGAACTAACAGAGCGACTGTTCGCTAAAAGTCCTGTTTGTTTGGCCGTCTTTCCAGATGTGAAACCCTCCAACGTCCTGATCAACACTCAGGGCCAAGTGAAGATGTGCGACTTTGGCATCAGCGGCTACCTGGTGGACTCTGTGGCTAAAACCATGGACGCTGGCTGCAAACCCTACATGGCGGTAAGCAGCGCGATGCTTTAAGGAATGAAGTGAAAATAAATGAAGTGTAAAATAAAATTCTTTCTGTAATTAAAAGTTTAAAAAGTCCAGTGTGAGCTTCCTAAAGAGCCACCAAACACAGCTCAAAATCTTCTCACTTTGTTGATTGTTTGATTGATATTATTTTGTTATAACGTCCAACGTGAAGTTGAGTGTGTGAGCTGACAGCTCCATGCAACGATACGACGTCTGCTTGTCGTCATCCGAACGCCATTTCTGGAAACTTTCACGATGTTCTGTGGCGAGATCGGACAGTGCAAACATCAACTCTGTTTAATTTATCTTTACTAGTTATGAACGCTGGGCCTCCTAATACGACCAAGCAGTATTTATCAGTCCAAACTTTCCAAACCGGAAGGTAACTCAGCAGGTGAGGAGCAAGACCAGGAGGATGCACAGTGTCCAGTTGTTGTCCAGACGAATCATGACTTTGAATCAGGAGGAGAGCCCGATGCACTCACTGCAGGGGCACAAACACGAGGAGACACATGAGGGCTTCAATGACGCGATCTAAAGACAGCAGCTGTGTCCAGAGATGCAGGAGAAGATGACCATGAGCAGGAGGTTCTTCAAGTTTAAAACACAAAGGCTTTGGATTCTTGTAGGACAAGTACTGAAACTTTTACACCTGTTAATGAATCAGAAGTAGTTTACAAATGGAAACTATATGAAAAACTTTAAATTTATAGGTGTTATAGACATTTTTTTAGGCTTTTAGCGTCATTTTGTTTGTGTACCTGTTGTTACGTCCCAAACACCCCCCTCCCTCCTCCTGCTCCCTGTTATGCATGCCGGTGATGTGATCGTCCGTTCGTCTGGATTCTAAAATGGACTTTGACAGTCAACGGTCACTTTGACCTTACAAAACACAACTCAGGAATTCATACGCTTTAGCCAAACGTCTCAGAGTTTTAACATTTACAAAAAGTTCACAGGTCATTTTACTGCGACGGCGTTCTGCAAAAGCACACAACTCGGGAACAGCAGGCGAGACTTTGACCTTATTTCACAATTGTTTGAATACTGATTTGGTGGCCACCTGTTAAATGCCTTCAAGGGCCTCGCTCGCTACATGCGTTTTATCATCTGGAAAGGCAATAAATATAAACCGCAGCAGGTTGGCTGATGCATCTAACTACGAGGCAGTAATTCTACACTTTACTAAAACTGAAAGCTTGGAAGCGTTTGATTGTTACAGGAGTGTGTGTGTCCTCGTAGACAAGAGAAAACTACAGTGTTATTGAGAAAAACGTGGCTCTGTTTTCCTGGATTGAAGAAGCGACTCTTTGGATTTCCAGGAAAACTTTCTTATAAAAATGAAATAATGCTGCGTCTTTCGGAACGATCAGGATAACTCAAAATTCCAAGAAAGCCTCCCAGTTTACGCAAGGATCCAGTCTCATGGAAGCACATAATTCCCAGCCTGTTCAGTTTAACCAGTGTTCTTGACCACCGGAGGAAACATTCGTCTCACGCACCTCATTCAAACATCATTTGGTACGCTTCAAAGATTTAAGGTTATGCTTCTAAAATACATTTTGGCCAATACTTGGAATCACAAAGAATTAAAGGTCAGGCTGAAGAGCAGCAGCACCTGGATTTAGTCCATGCAGGTCAGAGAAACTAGACAAAGATTGTTAATAATAATAAACACGTTACATACATCGCCAACTTTAAGCTGCTGCCAATCAGCTGTTTTCCAGATAAAAATCTGTTGGTGCTCATAAAAGTAAAATTCAGTCACTGGGTACATGCAGCCCCTGAACCATGACGGAGCCTCCACTGTGCTTCACAGACACTCCTGTTGTGCTTTATGTCTGTCAAACTTTCAAAGATTATTATAAAGAAATGTGAACAAATGTTTTTCTGTCTGCTAGCAACAAAGTGTCTACATGTAGTTGTCAGTAACATGTAGACACCACACTGGTTCAGCCTTTGAATTAGGTGCTCTTTTTCATGCACTTTTATTTATATAGCACCAGTTCACAACAAAGTGCTTCAGTGATTCATAGGTCAGTGTTCAGCTGCGTACCAAAAGCATTCCTCTGAAAATGGTCAGATACAAGGACTGGGCTGAAAAACGGCCAGCGTCCAAAGGAAACGCTAAAATATCTCCAGAGAGCCGGAGAACTATTGTTCAAGGCCGCTTTAAAAAAAATGACACGATGGTTGTTAATGACACTGTTATTGCTGCAGTCTTGGTGTCTTCAGAGGTTTCTTTGAATTTTGAGGATTTGCACTCATAAAAATGCAGCAGCACCCACGTCAGCCTGAATGTTGACGAATGTTACGACACGTGGATATGTGAGCAGGTATCCCGCTTTGGACGGACAACAAAGGGAAGTATTTTTACCTGGGGGGGGGAAACGTAGACCAGAACATACTTCCTGTCGGTTTTGGCTGCAAACGTAGATTTTGTGCATTAAAAGTGTCTTTAGATCTGCGACCCCGAGTCCCTCATTATCATCCACACGCTTAATGAGCCAGTTACTCTTTAACCACTCGGCAGGCCGCTGGTTGGCTGAGGGTATTTAGAGCCAGGTACGTTGCTCGGTCTGTGTGTGCACAAGAGCTTTGGGATTACGGGGCAGCGGGGCTGGTTATCCTTGACAACGGCTGCAGTTATTGACATCATCATGTGACCTTCTGTCTGTCCACAGCCGGAGAGGATCAATCCTGAGACCAACCAGAAAGGCTACAACGTCAAGTCGGACATCTGGAGTTTAGGAATCACGATGGTAAAGCCGCCTCGCGCTCCTGCATACGTTTGTTCACCTTTTCTGCATCGCTGCAAAAAAACACGATTAGCAGTTAAAAATGAAAAAGTCGTGAAATATTCATAGCTTTGCAGCTCAGGCCGGACCGAGGAGGATGTTGGCATCAAGGATTCAGCAGTTGACTCGCGCTCGTCTCTGCCTGTTCGATCGGCTGTTCGAGCAGCGAATGTTCCAGCACAGTCTGAATTTTAAAAGGGCACTAAATGGGTTTTAAATAAAAGAGGAAAATTGTGATTTCAGAGTAGTGGAAGGTTTTTGTAATAATTGTAAAATGAAGAATGAGTGGTCCAGACTGAGCGATCAGCGTGTGGGATAAAACCTGCCGGGCGCTG